TTACTTTTATTTAGTTATTTATTTTTTTTTTTATTTCTTTTATCCTTACCCAAAGACATTTTCTGTTCAGATAGGGAGGGAGAGAGAGAGGGAGAGACGGGGAGAGAGAGAGAGAGAGAGAGAGAGAGAGAGAGAGAGAGAGAGAGAGAGAAAGAGAGATCAACATGAAAGGGACACATCGAGTGGCTACCCTCTGCACGCACGACCCAACCAGGGCTGGGGACAAACTGCAACTGAGGTATGCGCCCTTAGCGGGAACCAAACCCAGGGTCTCTCTGGACCACAGGCCAATGTTCTAACCACTGAGCAAAACTGGCCAGGGCTTACTTTTATTTACTGATAGAATATAGTATTCATTGTCCTAAAATTAAGTTCCCATTTGTATATTCTAATTAAATTCTTGATTAAAATGTATTATATTTTAATAGCTACTGGAATTGATTTCCTGGTATTTTATTTTACATTTTCCTATGTGAGATTTGTGTATTGTTTTGTTTTTATGTGCTGTCTTTATAAGGCTTTGGGATTAAGGTTTTTAGAGCTTCACGCAATAAATTTGAAAAAAACACATTTTTCTATGTTCTAGTGGAATTTAGAATGGAAATGGTTTTCTTTCGTCTTAAATGACTGAACTTAAGTACATTCTGCCATTTATAGAAGAAATATTTTATCAAAAGTGGGGAAATGTCTGAAAATATTTGGTGGATTTGATAGAAAACAACTGGGACTAGGATTATCCTAACTTTTCTTACGAGTTTCTTATGATCATAAATATTAAGTTTCTCAAGATACCCAAATTTCTCATCAAATACTGATAATACATATGAACTCCAGAGAAATATTCCATGCCTAGTAATCCAAGAATTGTTGTTATTTAAAAATACGTAAAATATTATTATGTATGGCACAGAGTTTAGTCTCAGGAAACCAACAACCATAAAATACAATCATTGGACTCCTGGTCAAGATGGTGATGTAGGTAAACGCGGTCTCGCCTCCTCCCACACCACATCAAAATTACAACTAAATTACAACACAACCACCCTTCAGAACCATTTGACACTGAGCTGAATGGAAGACCTACAACTACAAAATTAAGCCACATTGAGACTGGTAGGAGGGGTGGTGGTGCAGTCGGACAGGTCCCACACCCACGTGTGGCAGATAAAAATCAGGAGGACACCTGGGCTGTGAAGGTCCTCCCTGAGGAGTTAGGGGTCCCTGTCCCATACCAATCCACAGCTCAGATTCCAGTGCCAGGAAGAGAAGTCCCCATCACTTCTGGCTGTAAAACCAGCGGGAACGGAGGCTGAGGGAGGTTGAGGCTACTGGCACCCCAGGCAGCTCCACTTAAAGGGCCCATGTAGGGACTTACTTGGCCTTGCTCCCTCTGAGCTTGGAAGGGAGGCAGCTTAAAAGTCACCAGAGACACAGGGAAGAACTGAGCTATTTGGGCTCAGGACAAGGGCTGGAGAAGCGGCTCTCTCTCAGACAGACATGCTGGTGGAGGCCATTGTTTTTTGGTAAGACATTCCCCAGTGTGGCAGATGGCTGCCATATCTGGAACTCCAGCAACCTGGCACACACTGTTGGCCCCACCCTGGTGATTCCCTGAGGCTTCGCCCCACCCAACTTTTGGGCCCACCCTAGCTGTTTCCAGCGGCTTTACCATAGGATTGGCCTGTCTTGGATCCTATTCATATTTTCCTAAAATCTCTCAAACAAGCAGCATCTGGTCTCAGCAAGCCCCAATCCTCTCATTAAGTGGCCCTAGGCCTGGCACCAGAAGCAACCAGCCTTGGTTCACAATTTGGCTTTTCCTGGGCACCTCCAAGCCCAGCACAAGAAGCAGCCATCTGCAGATCACTTTGTAGCTTATGCTGGGTGACACCAATAGAACACAGGCAGTGGCTGACCTTGCCCCAGAGCCACCATACCCAGTGAACATCTTCAGACCACATCAAAACACCACCATCCAACCACCTCCACAAGCGACACACTCAATGAGTGGACTCGGTGGGTACCAGAGCCCTTGAAGTAAGTCCTACTATGTAGTGGGCCCCTACACAGCTGATCCTCCAAGGTAGTCAGAGGCCAGTGGTCAGTGGGAACAGCCAGTCCTTGCAGCAGATCAGCCTGAGTAAATCCCACCCATTGATGTGCCAACAGCAATCAAGACTCAATTACAACAGAAGGGTGTACAGTCCACACAAGGGGTGTACCTCGAGGGCCCAGCTGGGGTGATTAGGGAGGCTGTGCCACTGGGTCCTATAAGACACCTACAATAACAGGCCACCCTACAAAGCCTAGGAGACATAGCAACTCTACCAAATACATAGAAACAGTCACAGGAAGGCAGCCAAAATGAGGAGACAAAGAAACACGTCCCAAATGAAAGAACAAAACAAAACTCCAGGAAAGGAACTAAATAAAATGGAGATAAGTGATCATTCAGATGCAGAGTTCAAAACACTGGTTATAAGGACACTCAAGGAACTTAGTGAGACATTCAAGAAACTTAGTGAGACTTTAAAGGAACTTAAGGAGATCTCCAGGAACTTAGTGAGAACATCAAAAACATAAAAAAGGACCAGTCAGAAATGAAGGATGCACTAACTGAAATAAAGAATAATTTACAGAGAATCAATAATTGAGTAGGTAAAGCCAAGAAGGAAGCCATCAAATTGGAATATAAGGAAGCAAAACACACCCAATAATAACAGCAAAAAGAAAAAGAATTTAAAAAAAAAAATGAGAATAGTGTAAGGAGCCTCTGGGACAAATTCAAGCATGCCAGCATTTGCATCATAGGGGTGCCAGAAAGAGAAGAGAGACAACAAAAAATTGAAAACCTATTTGAGAAAATAATGACATAAAACTTTCCTAACTTGGTGAAGAAAACAGGCATATAAGTGCAGTAAGCATAGAAAGTCCCAAACAAGATGAACCCAAAGAGGTCCACACCAAGACACATCATCATCAAAATGCCAAAGGTTAAAGACAAAGAGAGAATCTTAAAAGCAGCAAGAGAAAACCAGTTAGTTACCTACAATGAAGCTCCCATAAGACTGTCAGCCAGTTTCTCAAAAGAAAATCTGCAGGCCAGAAAGGAGTGGCAAGGAATAAAGTGATGAAAAGCAATGACCTACAACCAAGATTACTTTATCCTACAAAGCTATCATTTAGAATTGATGGACATATAGTTTCCCAGACAAGAAAAAGCTAAAGGAGTTCATTACCACCAAACCAGTATTATATGAAATGTTAAAGGGTCTTATTGAAAAAAAAATATATGAACAATAAAATGGCAATTAATACATATCTATTAACAATTGAATCTACAAACAGAATGAGCAAGCAGATCAGAAACAGACTCATAGATACAGAGAACTTTTTGTTGCTTGCCAGATGGGTGGGGATTAGGGGGATGGGTGAAAAAGATGAAGGAATTACAAAATAAAAATTGGTTATTAGACTGATGACCCTCAAAGGGGAGAGGGTGGGAGGATGGGATGAGATAAACCAGAGAACTTCTATGCATATAGGCACAACCAATGGACACTGACAATAATGTGGGGAAGGCAGGAGGGGGGTGGGATTGGGGAGGAGGGGATCAGTGGGAAAAAAGGGGGGGACACCTGTAATACATTCAACAATAAAGATAAGTTAAAAAATAATAAAAATAAAATACAATCAGTTATTCATATAAAAATTTTGTTTGCATTGACTCAGGTTTCTCTTTAACCTAGACTCAGACATCAAATAAGGCACAGCACAGATTTTACACCTGCCTTTCCACCCCATCATAATATTTTTTTTTTGCTTCTTATGTGCTTTCTTTTTTTAAATCAGTATACTCAACAGTGTAACACTCTCAGTGTGGAATTACATGGAATGGATTTATACTTCAGTTTAAAAATTAATAGTTTTACCATATTCATTTTAATAACTAATATGATTTGTACATCTTAAAGTTGTTCCTTGGCATTAATTATTCCCCAGAAGGTAATTTCCATTAATGTATAATTAACAAACTAATACATAGGTGAGGTGTCACTGGAGTAGTTGGCAGATTGTCTTTAAAACAAAGTTTCTCCAACTACTTCACTTATTCAAGGTGCTACTTCCTTTTAATGCCTTTAGATCTCATATAACTATACATAGAATAGGCTCTGATTGGGTGCCTAACTATGGCATGACAAATCTAATTAGAAAAGAAGACATGTGGTGCTGTTAAACTTATGAGAAAACAGCATTTTCAAAATTTAAACTGGTAACTTTCACACATGTGAGGGGCATCCAACATTGGATTCTTTGTTTTGCAGATCATGGGTTATGCTTGCACATATGCGTGCGTACATAACTGATGTCACTTGGTTCAAAGAACAATGCCAACTTATCAAGATATCCATGAGAACTGCATTTATGGAATCCATTTAGTTATTTCCTAGTCCCTTGAAATTTCCTGCTGTTTTAAAAAAATAGAATGGTTTTAATTTTCTTACTTTGGAATTTCTCAAATTTGACTTGGTCAATATGATTAACTCCTTTGTGTCTTTTGAGTTTTAATTTCCTCATATTAAATAGGTTGTACTGAATTTGATGATTTCCAAGATTTGATCCCTGTGTAATACAATATAATTTGTAGTTGATAAAAGATACTGACATTCCAAATCATATCAATGACCTAAAGGGGAATTCAGGTTTTTTTGTTTACTTACGCTTATTCATGGCTAATTTATATAAATCCTCTAGGTCTGAATATCTGCATATGGAAAATAATGATAGTAATAAACCCTACCTTATATGATTGTGGGGAAATTTTAAAAGATATGTCTATAAATGCTTTTATAGTACCTAGCATAGTGGGTATTCAATAACTATTAATATTGTAATAATATTACTCTTCCTTCATCTTAATGGGGATGATTTTCATCAAGTACTAATATCAATGAAGGCATGGTATCCTGTAAAATATATTCCTTTAAAAAGAAGCTTCAGTACCCACTTCGGCAGCACATATATTAAATTGGAAAGATACAAAGAAGATTAGCATGGTCCCTGCATAAGGATGACACACAAATTCATAAAGTGTTCTATATTTTTGGGATATAAAAAAGTGGAAACATATACCTTGTTCATGTGCTGGAAGAATTAACATCATTAAAATGTCCATTCTACCCAAAGCAATCTATAGAGTTAATGCAATACCCATTAAAATACCAATGACATAGTTCATGGAACTAGACCAAATACTCCAAAAGTTTATATGGAACCAAAAAAGAAAAAAGACCCTGAATAGCCACAGCAATCTTGAAAAAAAAAAAGGACAAAGTAGGAGGGATCACATTACCAGATATCAGGTTATACTACAAAGTAATCAAAACAGCCTGGCATTGGCACAAGAACAGGCATATAGATCAATGAAACAGAACAGAGAACCCAGAAATGAACCCAAAACATGATGTTCAATTAATATTTGACAAAGGTGGCAAGAGCACACAATGAAGTAAAAATAGCCTCTTTAATAAATGGTGTAGAGAAAACTGCACAGCTACATGCAAAAAAATGAAACTAGACCATCAACTTACACCCTACACAAGAATAAATTCAAAATGAACAAAACACTTAAATGTGACTCGGGAATCCATAAAAATCCTAGAAGAAAATATAGGCAACAAAATTTCATACATCACATGCAGCAGAATTTTCACTGATACAATGCCTAAGGCAAGAGAAACAAAGGAAAAAAATTAATACATGAGACTACATCAAACTAAACAGCTTCTGCACAGCAAAAGAAACAACATTATAATGGAAAGGGAGCCCACTATATGGGAGACCATAATTGCCAATAATACATCAGATAAGGGGTTAATTTCCTAAACATATAGAGTGCTCATACAACTCAACAAAAGGAAGACAAAGAATCCAATTGAAAAATGGGCAGAGGACCTAAATAGACACCTTTCCAAACAAATGGCCAAGAGACATATGAAAAAATGCTCAATGTCACTAAGCATCAGAGAGATGCAAATTAAAATGACTATGAGGTATCACCTCACTCCTGCCAGAATGACTACCATCAACAAATCATCAGACTTCCTGTCAAGATGGCGGCACAGGTAAACGCGGTATCACATCCTCCTACGACCACTTCAAAATTACAACTAAACTACAGAACAAACATCATTCAAAATCACCTGAAATAGAACTGAATGGAAGTCCTACAACTATGAAATTAAAGAAGTAGCTGAATTGAGACTGGTAGGAGGGGCGGAGGGGCAGAGGGGCAATGGACTGGTCCCACAACTATGTGGGGCAGGTAAAAATTAGGAGGCTACCTCGGGTGGGAAGGTCCTCCCTGAGGACTGAGGGGTCCCTGTTCCACACCAGGCACCCCACTCAAGGTTCCTCTAGGTCTGAAAAGTCCCAATCACTTCTGGCAGTAAAACCAGCAGGAACTGAGGCTCAGGGAAGCTGAGGCAGCTGGAGCCCCAGGAAGATCCTCTTAAAGGGCCCCCACAAACTTATTAAACTCTCTCCCTCTAAGCTTGAAGGGGAGACAGCTCAAGGGGTGCCAGACACATACAGGGAAAAACTTAACTGTTTGGCATTGGAGCGAGGGTTGAAGAGGGAGCTTTCTCCAAGATAGACTACTGTCAGAGGCCTTTGTTCCTTTGGTGAGCCCTTCCCTGGGGCTGCAGACAGCTTCCATATCTGGGACTCCAACCACCTGGCTCACACTGGTAGACCCCCCCTGATGATTCCCTGAGGCCCCGCCCTACCCAACTTTCAGGCCTACCCAAGCTGTTGCTAGTTGGTTGATGATAAGATTGGCTTGTCCTGGATCCTGCTTCAGGTTTTCCTAAATTCATTCAAACAAGCAGCATCTGGTCTCAGCTAGCCCCATACCTCTCATTAAGTAATAAGTAGAGACAAACACAGGGAGGCAGCCAAAATGAGGAGACAAAGAAACAGGTCCCAAATGAAAGAACAGAACAAAACTAAGCAAAATGGAGATAAGCAACCTAACAGATGCTGAGTTCAAAACAATGCTTATAAGGATGCTCAATGAACTTAGTGAGAACCTCAGTGAACTTAGTGAGGGCCTCAAGAGCATAAAAAAGGACCAATTCGAAATGATGGATGCACAGTCAGAAATGAAGGAGGCATTAACTAAAATAAAAAATAATTTACACAGATTCAATAGTAGGTAGAGTAGGTAAAGCCAAGAAGCAAACCATTAATTTGAAATATAAGGAAGCAAAAAACACCCAATCAGAACAGCAGAAAGAAAAAAGAATCCAAAAAAATTAGGATATGTAAGGAGCCTCTGGGACAACTTCAAGCGTGCCAACATTCGCATCTTGGGGGTGCCAGAAGGAGAAGAGACACAACAAGAAATCGAAAACCTGTTTGAAACACTAATGGCAGAAAGCTTCCCTAACTTGTGAAGGAAACAGACATACACATCCAGGAAGCACAGAGAGTCCCAAACAAGATGAACCCCAAGAGGCCCACACCAACACACATCATCATCAAAATACAGAAGGTTCAAGACAAAGAGAGAATCTTAAAAGCAGCAAGCGAAAAGCATTTAGTTACTTACAAGGGAGTTCCCATTAGACTGTCAGCTAATTTCTCAAAAGAAACTTTGCAGGCCAGGAGGGAGAGGCAAGAAATATTCAGAGTGATGAAAAGCAAGAACCTACAACCAAGATTACTCTATCCTGCAAAGCTGTCATTTAGAATTGATGGCCATATAAAGAGTTTCCCAGACAAGGAAAAGTTAAAGGAGTTCATCACCAACAAACCATTATTATATGAAATGTTGAGGGGTCTTCTTGAAGAAAAAGGTAAAAAATATGAACAAACAAAATGGCAATGAATACATAGCTCTCAACCATTGAATCTACAAACAAAATGAACAAGCAGAACAGAAGCATTCTCATAGACATAGAGAACATTTTGTTGGTAGCCAGATGGGAGGGGGGAGGGGAGAATGGGAGAAAAAGGTGAAGGGATTAAGAAATACAAATTGGTTGCTAGAATGACAAACCCCAAAGGGAAGGGGGGTTGGGGAGTGGGAAGAAATAAACCAAAGAACTTATATGCATAAACAATGGACATAGAAAACAGGGTGGAAAAAGGCAGGAGGGGGGTGGGAATGGGGAGGAGGGGGTCAATGGGGGGAAAAATGAGGAACATCTGTAATACATTCAACAATAAAGAAATAATTTTTAAAATTTTTTAAAAATCAAACAAGTGCTGGTGAGGGTGTGGAGAAAAGGGAACTCTAATACACTGCTGGTGGGAATGCAGAATGATGTTACCACTATGGAAAACAATATGGTGTTACCTCAAAAATTTTAAAATTAAATTGCCATTTGACCCAGTGTTTCCACTTCTAGGAATATATCCTAAGAAACCTGAAACACCAATCAGAAAGAATATATGTACCTCTATGTTCATAGCAGCACTATTTACAATTGCTAAGATCTGGAAACAACCCAAGTGTACATCAGTAGATGAGTGGATAAAAAAAGCTGTGGTACATATACACAATGGAATACTATGTAGCTGTAAGAAAGAAAGATCTCTTATCCTTTCAGACGACATGGAGGGACCTGGAGAGAATTATGCTATGTGAAATAAGCCAATCAGAGAAACACAAATATCACATGATCTCACTATTTGTGGAATATAATGAACTAAACAAACTGATGAACAAATAGACCCAGAGACATAGAAGTAGGTTACAGACTGACAAACCTCAGAAGAGGGGGATGGGAGGGAGGGAAGAGATAAGCCACAGAACTTATATGCATGTATGTGTAACCAATGGACATAGACAACAATGCTGGGAAGGCAGGATCGGAGGAGGGTATCAATGGTAGAAAAAGGAGAAACATCTGTAACAAAAATAAATTAATTTAAAAAAGAAGAAAATAATAAAAATTAAATAAAAATTGCCCTGGCCAGTTTGGCTCAGCGGTTAGAGCGTTGGCCTGCGGTCCGGAGAGACCCAGGTTCGGTTCCCACTAAGGGCATGTACCTCGGTTGCAGTTTGTCCCCGGCCCTGGTTGGTCGTGTGGGTGGCAGCCACTCGGTGTGTCCCTTTCACATCGATGTTTCTCTCTCTCTCTCTCTTCCTCTCTCTCCCTCCCACTCTATCTGTACAAAAAATGGAAAAATGTCCTCGGGTGAGGATAAAAAAAAAAAAAAAATTAAATAAAAATTAAAAAGAAGGTACAATTATTGGTATTATTTTAGTTACATTTTTTTCAGCTGTCATAAAGTTTCTCATGCATATAATTTTCAAGTACATTTAACAATTTCTTACTTTAATCTCTACATCTTTATTGTAAGATTGCTAGAATGTTATAGGCATAGTGTGGCTGATTTTGAACAAGATTTTGATAGTCTTATGATTTTGTCTTACAAAAGCTAAAATAATGAGTGCTGAATTAATGTTAAGTGGCTTCTCAGTCGGCTGGATGGTTATTCAAAGAGTCATTGCTAAGAAAGTCCACAGAGAACAGCTCAGTAAAATACTTGGGTATAATTTCAGCTGTTAAAATTGTGCCAAATGTTTGAAGAAAAAAATAGGAGATATGAATCAGATTTACCAGTGACCCAGAATTGTATATAAAATCAGAAAAATAATAGGTTAGAATTACAAGGGATCTTATCAGTCTATAAAAGTTAGCAAAATTGAGCAAGTGAAATAAAACAAGGACAATCAAATACCAAAGGCAGAAGTATAAGGTAAAAGACACTTGAGGGAAGTGATTTCTCTATCAGCTAAATGTGAAAAAAAAATTGGTTTGGATTCATTATAACCTCAATGGATGATGAGGCTGCCAAAAAAAAAAAAAAAATCCAATCTTAGAATTTGTGTTCATTGAAGAATAGAATATAGAAAAATGGTGCTGGAGGTCCTATATTATTCTACAGTGAAAAGAACACACTTAAAGACCTGGGTACAGTTCTGGGTACCACAGTTCAAATGTTACTTTGAACAGCAGGAGAATGTTGGATAAGTATCAGCAGAATAGGCTTTGGGACTGGAAATGAAAAAATTGAAAAAATATGTATGGTGA